AAATGCATTCAGGTATGGGACTTTGTTGGTTGTTGCTAGAATGATCAACATATCCTGTGTTATCATCTGTGGTGACATTGTCCGTCATGGAAATGCATTCAGGTATGGGACTTTGTTGGTTGTTGCCAGAATGATCAACATATCCTGTGTTATCATCGATGGTGAAATAGTCCGTCATGAAAATGCATTCAGGTATGGGACTTTGTTGGTTGTTGCCAGAATGATCAACATATCCTGTGTTATCATCGATGGTGAAATAGTCCGTCATGAAAATGCATTCAGGTATGGGACTTTGTTGGTTGTTGCCAGAATGATCAACATATCCTGTGTTATCATCGATGGTGAAATAGTCCGTCATGAAAATGCATTCAGGTATGGGACTTTGCTGGTTGTTGCCAAAATGATCACTATAGTACATTAGCTTCAAAACATCATGGTTCCATTTTGATGACTTCTTTCCCTTTAATTTCAAACTAAGTATTTAATCCATGTTATCGACATCATTTTGCGCACAGCTTAGACGATCAGCAAGTTATACAGTGCAGACTTTGAGGGGGGGAGGAGGGGGGGGGGTGTTTCTTTAGAAACACAGGTAAAAACCCTAAAACCTAACCCTTCCATCGTTTTCTAACCCTAACCCTAACCCCAAGTCTGGAACCATAATCGTTGCCCTAGGTTACAGAAACCCTAAGCATTGCCGAAGACTAGCCCTAAGCCTAACCTCAGGTGACATTTCTTGGCTGATAATTAGTGTTTTTAAGCAAGGATGTCATCCTTTAAATGACAGTAATAAACGATAACTGACATGCACTTGGAGAGCATATAAGCTTAAGTTTACTCCATAGGCTCACAGTAAGCTCTGTAGACTTTCTTTTCCTTGCAAAGGAGCCCATATCAATCTAAAATAACTTGCGCTAGTAAACCTAACTTACCTTAAAGGTTAATGGTTCGTAGGAAATTGCCGAGGAGAAAAATAGTGGAACTCCTCCTTTATCCAAAGATTTAAACTCGAACACGTTTTGGCTTTCGTCTTCCATTTTTCCAACCAAACGCTGGACAGCACTAGAGAGAACTTGTCGAAAGTCTCCCATAATTTGAAGGCGAAGTCTTATTTTTGCTTAGTCCAGAACTGGACCCTCTTTTCTCAATTACTATAGATAGTATTCTATGTAAATAAAAATCCAAAGCGCGCGCTACAAAAAATTGAGAAAAGTGGGTCCAGAGAAATTTGTCAGCGCATGCGCTACATCAGCCAATCACGATCGATCAAGAGAACCGTTCTCAGCTACAGGGAGCCCAAACAACTTTGAATCTACTTTATATTAG